TTCCATTCCTCAAAATTCGTTTTGTGTCCGCGGATTCCGCCTTAGCGTGAATCCGACACGATTCGAAGAACTCCATTCTTCGAGAATTCGTGTTGTGCCCCTGGATTCCGCTTTTAGCGTGGATCCGATACGACTCGCTTTCTCTCCTAAACTCTCATCCCGAAATTACCCACTCATAAATTATTAACAATCAGAAACTCTAGCCAACCTCCCTAACTCTACTCATTTTAATGGACTCACGGGATCCACTCAAAACAGGAGAAAGTCGCGAGCCGTAGTCAAACGTTTGAGGAACCTGAGGAATCGGCATCCGCGTCGGTTAGCCGCTCTAAATAATATTTCTCAGGATGATCACTCCTCTTCTCCCACTTTTCCCTTCCTCTTCCACTATCATTAAAGACCATTAATAAATCACTCACACACACAATACACACACAGTCACACCCGCGAAAAATGTAAAAATTCGACAATCCAAATGTACATATAGCGTTAACACATATAAATGTAACACCTATTGATCTCTTTTAGTTAGTAAAAAATTGCCTTTATTTTATGTTATTTCTTTTACTCTCAATTACAATGTCAAGAAGTAAAATTACCTTCTTTTTATCTTATTAACCCTAATCTAATGCTTAGATGTAGACAATTTTAAATATATTACTATGTTCAAACCATCTCTTTCTATTTTAATTTATTTCTAAAGACCTCACCCCCTTTTCGTTCCCCTTTGAGAGTGCACAAGGTCCGTCCCAGGGTAATAGGGATTAATTTCCTTGACCTGAAATAGGACCTGCGATCGCACCGCTCTTGAAAAGAGTCATAGTGTCCTCACGGACATTGGCCTTTTTAGAGCCTTAGAAAAGTGCGTTCGGCTCGCTTTCACGCGCCTCCGAGCGTGTTAGCGAGACATTGAAACTTACTAGTTGCGTCATTCCATACCTCAACATTCCGAGAGGTTTTGACGTAACACATGCAAACGATGATCGTGTACTAAAAGCTGTGTTACGAAATTATATTTATATAATTCCGAGGTATCATTAGCCTCTTCCCTAATCGTTTTATTAAATATCGGTGTCGTCAATGTTTGTTACATTTACTCAGGAAAAACTTATTGTTTTCATTTAATAGGGAAGTTAGTTTGCATGCAGTATTAATTAATATAATTAATCATTCGCAATCTTAGGAACAACTGAGTTAGGTAAATTTTACCTCTTTATCCTTTAATTCGAATATGATATTAATTATTTGTACTTTATAATAAACTTATTTATTATTTATTATCACGATCCCTAATGCATAAAAGCCCAGACTAATGATGCATCAAATCTTTATGTCTCCAAACAATAAAGACGATTACTAACATTTAATGTTGAAATAATGCATTCTAGGTGTTTGAATTTATAATACGTTGGAGGGCTATAAAAAAAAACCTATTAATTTAAATTTTAAGTTTGATGATCAGCACAAGCTAACTGGAAAGGTATATTTCGTAAACACAAGACTTTACACTTATTTTTTCTAGATTTATATGTATACATATATTCGTATGTCAAACTAATATAAATAAGATCTTTAATTTTATCTACACAGAAGGTTCAATAAATTCCGGGAATACCCCGAAATAAAATACGTAACGATGCCAAAAAAAAAATTAAGAACACGTTAGTTTTCTACATGTATCCCTTCCCTCGCCAGACAATCGCGGCTTTGCCCAGAGGCTCTGGAATATCTTGGAAAAAATTTTCACGTACAATGCTGTTCAGAACCGCCATCACATTCGCAAGGAAATGTTGATCGGAAATTCGTCCCCCTGGCCAGACTGTGACGAGGGCACTCTATGTGGAAGTTTTCAAACGCCTGCTCGCGAGAATTCGTAGTAACCGACCCGAACTTTTCGAGTTCGGTAAATGGTGTCTTCTGCGCGACAATGCACCGGCCAATACCGGCGTCCTTACGCGTTAGTTTTTGGTCAAAAGAGGGATCACAGTCCTAGAACACCCCCCATATTCGCCTGATTTGCCCCAAGCGGATTTTATTCTCTTCCCCAAACACAAATCTGCTCTCAAGAGGGAGCGATTTGAGTATCTGGTATCGATTCAAGCGACAGTGAAAGCCACTATAAACAACATTCCATTCGAAGATTTTGTCAAGGCGTTTCAGAGCCTCTATGGAACCGCGAGTATATGGCGAGGAAAGGGATGTATATAGAAAACTAACGTGTTAATAAATTTTTTTTGCCATTGTTACGAATTTTATTTCGTAACAATGGTAGTCCTGGAACTTATTGAACCGACTGTGTAGTCCATATAACAAATTGCATTTCGTTGGCTTCTGATAGTCACAACAATTTATTTTCTGTTAATAAACATTAATATAATATGTTTTAGGTATATAAATTTATTCGCAAAATTCAAACTCACGAAGAGTATATCCCAATATTGATTGTTAAACAAAAAATAGATCTACGCTTGTCCGAAATCGAGTATCACCTGAATCATTTTCAATACCTTGTGCGAAATTAAAGAATTGTAACTCTGACGCACATATTTGAATTCATTACAAATATTTCATACAATTGCTGTTAGTTTCAGTAGATATTCAAAAATATTGTTCCGCGAGATTCTGTAAAACTAACGTGTATGTACATATATATTGTAATATAGAGTATATAAAATTTTGTAAAAGTCGTCATGCTGATTTTAAAAGTACAGTAATGTATAAAGTATGTCCAAGGATTCAAGAAAAACTTGATACAAATTTAAGACAGGAATAATTCATAAATTTTTACATTAATTATAATTTTTCGCTTTAGAAAATTGTGTTCAGAATTGTATACAGGATGTCTCGAAATTCAGTTGGGAATTTTTGTTGACAAAAGTGGTCATACTGCGTTGTAGTAGAAGCCCTCCCGATTAGAATAAGACGTGGAACAGCTCAGTACGACGAAAACTGTGGCCATAGTAACTTGACGCGCAAAACATGTCTCTACAATCTCCCGCCAAGTGCGAGGTACGAGCCGTGATCCGTTTCCTTCTCGCAATGGGAAAAGCGCCGTTTGAGATTTTCGAGGAGATTAAAAGTGTTTATGGCGAAGGAGGTATGAACCGTTCGAATGTGTTTAACATAAGTGGTGTCGCGAATTTAAGAATGGCAGAACAAGTGTTCACGACGATCAGAGAAACGAAAGACCATTGATCTTGATTGACGCGCTTGTGAAAAAAAATCGGAGAAACTGTCCGTGATAATCGCAAATTAACGTTGGATGAAATGAGTATGAATCTGAGAGATTTGTGGAAACATCACAATATATAATAGTCTAGAAAATGTTTTATTGCTCGTAAATATATTGGCCTTAATCCTTCTTTTATTCTTGACATACATATATGGTTTATCTGGCGGTTTTCTAACGAATTTTCAAATCAAAAGCGGGTTATTTTTTCAGTAGTTGGCAACGCTGACCACCATGGTGGTCCAAATATGATGGGGATCGTTCCGTGCCGCACACAAGCTACGTGCCATATGTGTGTACGTGCGTGCGCAGCTCGTATGTAGTATGTATGTATCCCCACCAACGCTGTGATCATATAGTAGTTCAATGCTCGCATCTTTACCACTGATACCGGCCGAGAACGTTTGCCTCAACGCTGCAGCGGTGGTGGGAATAGGAGTGGGGATGATTCTTTCGGCCGTGCGCGCACGCGTGGCCGAAAGAATCATCCCCACTCCTATTTCCCACCACCGCTGTAGCCTTGAAGCAAACGTTCTCGACTGGCGTCAGTGATCTCTACTCTACCATCTAAGGCGAGTGACTGGTATACACGAGTAAGGATAAATCCTTGGTTCGATTCTGGTCCTCGTCCCGTATAATTTCACGCGAAAATTTCAAAAGTTTAGTGCTTGAAGGGGTTTAAACACCAAGTGTTGGATTCAGTATATAATCAAAATAAAAGCACATAAATTTCATCGTGGACACAAGGTTTAATTTTTACACACAGAACGGACCATCGGTTCTCTCGGGTTTCTCTCCCGTAAGAAAAAGTAAGTACAGGAGTGTGCACTTTTATATTTGCTACGTTCGGCATTGCTAATCTGAAGTGTCGAAGTGTTCTTCCTATCTTTTTATCGCATTCTTCTCTCTCGCTCATTTTAATGCAAGGGAACACTCCGACGTCCTAGATTTGCAATACCAAACGTAGCTATATCTATATTACATATATTAAAAAATTTATCTATATTACAAGTATCCCACATAGCACAAATGACTGTTTGCCGGCTGATAGTCGACATTTTTTAGTCACTTTGAAGTCAACTTTTGAAGTCGACATTTTCAAGAAGTTTAAAGTCGCCTTTCGGTAAAGCGAAAAATTAACTAAAAAATATTTTTTCGTCTCACCGAAAGACGTAAAAATCTTTTCATCTTTTTTCTTATTTTTTTCGGCAAAGTGCAAAAATGTGTAAAAAATATCTTTTTGGCCAATCTTTCTGGTCAATCTGTCGAACCGATATGGCTAATCGATGTCTCCGCGTGTAGCGCGATAGTCGTGACATGCGTGCTCCTTGCTTGTTCGTGAATTATCAGTGTCTTCCTGATAGACGATAATCGTATTTAGATATAAGATAAGTCATATTTTTCGCGTAGCTACCGAATTAATACGATTTAATGTGTCGATTAATACAAGTTAATCAAGAAAACCTGTCAAATTTGTCAAAAATATAAAAGCATAATTAAATAATATAATATATACTCTGGTTTATTGTCTGTTTTTTATTAAGAACATATGCTCGTTATAATTATTATTTAAGGGGTTACACCACTTTAGAGCCGTAGAAAAACAGCTATTTTTAAGATTTTTTTTTAGACAATGGTTAAATAAATAAAAAATCTATAAAAAGGTAATGATTCTATACATATATATTTAAGAACACGAAAAATATTATTTTTTTTCAAATAACATGACGTCACTAGGGCTAATCCATTTAGGCTTGTTTTTCAGGAACGTCAAATCGGCGTGCAGCATAACTGCAAAACAGTTGAACCTAGAACAAAAAAACCAAAATTTTTTATTTTCTACACAGTATTTACTAATGAAATATGTAGGGGTTTTTTGAAATATGGTTTTTTGACAAAATGGCGAACATTTGAAAAAAAACGTCATTTTTTACCTAAAAATTTAGTATAAAAATATCCGTAACAAAGACAATTTTTAATATATCGCAAAATCCCTACTTATTTCATTAAATAATTTAGATAAGAAGATCTCCTCCAAATTTTAAGTAAATCGGATAAAAATTGTAGAAGTTATGCTGCACGCCGATTTAAAAAATGTCATTCTGAGAAAAACGCGTTTAAAGTTTTACGTAACAATATTTCGTGTATAAAATTAAGAAATTGAAAAATTACCTTTAGTCTGCGATTCCTGCGTCATAAAGTTGTCCTTCTACGTCGACTTCAGTTTTCTCTGCCTCTTTTCTGTTCGATGTTAAGGCTTTCCGAGCCTCTTTTGCCGCGTCAGTCAAGGAGCGCTCCGCTGCCATGACGCGTCGAGCGTCCGTCTGCGCGCAGAAATTATAACAATTCGTGCCTATAGGCATATGTAAAACCTGCATTATTTCCATTATGCTTGTCAACCCGTCGTTAAAATTGCAAACTGCAATGTCCGCTACCATATCCAGAACTGTTTTTCCACTTGACGTTGCTTCCGGTGCCATCGTCCATACGACAGAGTTGAAGCTTTCGTTTTGTGTGAAGCCTCCTAAGCAACGCTCTAATAATTCGTCGTTACTTAAATTTTCATAAATGGGCTTGATATAATTAAAAACCTCTTGTTTGAGAGGCGGTTTGTGTGTGTATTGTGTCAGCTGCTCCGAACCGTTCGAAGTCTGCCTGTGGCGCACCGGCGCGCTTCCCTTTAATCGGCTGTACAGTCGTAAATAATTCAAATTTTACATTCCGACAAAAAACTTTATTTTTAAGACTATGAACTATAATTTAAACGAATAAAAATTTTTTCGATTTTTTGAAATTTCTAAAGTGGTGCGTGCAACCCCTTAAGTTTAATTGGAGCATTTTCAAAGACTTGATCAATATAATTTTATTATATATTGTAAATATTATACAATTAAAATATAAAAACTTTAATCAATCAGGTTTTCAAGATGTGACTATTAAACACTTAGTAGTTAATATAAATAACGTAAAATTGACTAAAAGTTGACTTCTGATCGCCATAAAGTCGACTTCTAAGTCGACTTTTGGCTGACTGACAGCCGACTATAGTCGAGTCATTTGTCGACTATTAGTTGACTATAAGTTGACATTTAGCCTGACTGTGAAGTCGACTTTAGACTTCTGCTGCCGACTGACAGTCAATTAATAGTCAACTTGGTGCTGTTTGGGATAGTACATTAATTTCGTTTTTGAGATACTATTCACAATTATATTGTAATTATACAGATTTTTGATAATTATCCCAGACAACATATGTGTTGAGACGACGTCTTAAAAACGTCTTACAAGAGACGTCTTTAAGATTTTACTAAAAGACGTCCGTAAGACGTCAGAAAAAAATTTCTTTAAGACATTGTCAAAAAGATGTCCTTATAACGTCTTCGAATGTATACTACACTCCCGATATTTGACCCTGAAATACAAATATAATTTAACTAATCACAATTGTAGTCACCCTGCAGAAACAAATTTCTAAGGTATTCGAACACCCGGTGTATAGTATAGACGTAAAAAAAATTACAACACACAACATTCTTTCAACCTCACCATTATATCAGGTACAGGTTAGCGCGCAGCGAGGGTCGGACGATGCAAATTCCGTTACTTTTGCAGCACGATGTGGTCGGAGAGGGGATAACGCACACAAGCGAGCAGCCGTATCCGTGTGCGCCCGGCGCCGCGCCGGGCATGCGCCGGGCGCACACGGATACGGCTGCTCGCTTGTGTGCGTTATCCCCTCTCCGACCACATCGTGCTGCAAAAGTAGCGGAATTTACGTCGGACCCCAAATACCCAGCTGCGCGCCTACCTGTGCACCTGTGCACGGATGCACCGCTCGAGATAACCCACGCAGCACCGAAATATTTCAGAAAGCTCTCAAAAAGCTGTCAATGAAATATGAAACCTTTCAAAAAAATATTTCAGACATGGTTCAGATACATGAAATGTCCGCGTAGATGAGATATCATAAATGTTTCTGAAATATTTCTGAAATGCTTTAGAAATATCGCTTAAATGCTTCGGAAATATTTCTGAAATGCGTCGGAAATATTTCTGAAATGCTTCAGAAATATTTCTTAAATGCTTCGAAAATATCTCTTAAATGCTTCAGAAATACTTTTGAATGATTTCAATGTTACATTTCAGTATTAATTTCCAAGGTATCTTTTGGAAAGCTTTCAATGACATGTGATTTTGATGAAACATTTCAAAAATATTTCTGAATGATTTCAATTTTACATTTCAATATTAATTTCCAAGTTATCTTTCGGAAAGCTTTCTGAAACTTGTTTTGCTGTGTGGGAAGGTTAGTTGTAATCGTCATCTGCAGCTCTCTGCAGCCAATTTTTGAATTATTTGACGAATAACACTCCAAGCTACATATTCCATTTTGAATCAACGCGAATATATGTGGATAAAAAAGTATAGCTCTGCAGTACGGCACGTTCAATCGTAAATGAAAGATTTTGAAAGGCTGGCCCCAATTTAATGTCCCCCCAAATAATTTTTATATTTTTGATCGCAGAAAAAACGTTTCAGACAACAGTTGAAGGGTTGAATTCCAGGGGTTGTGCCTATAGAGACATTTATTCAGGATGAGGAGGACTACACGTATCAAAATTTAAGACAATTCCACAGAAACCCAATTCCCATAAGATTATGGCAGGGTCCTTTGCTGAATTACAGTCGAAATGTGACGTTACCAGAAGGTTACATGTTTAGCGAGGGGGTAAGCAAATCTATTTCGGAATAGCACTTAATTTCGGGAAGCTTTAATTTTTCTCGTGTTAGCTGTCACGTATAATGTCGAATTTTGATCAGCATTATAAATGAAAACTCTTTGCCACCAACATGAAAATATTATGTTACGAGAAAACTAATTGTAAGTGTTTCGAAATAGGTGCTGTTCTGAAATAAGTTTACCCTAAAAACACAAAAATTAAAAATGTGATAAATATGTCTTATACTTACATGTCTCAAAGACGTTTTAGAATCGTCTTGAAGATGTCTTCCAAACGACTTTAAAATGTCTTTAAGATATTTCCAAAACGTCTTAAAAATATCTTTAAGTCGTGTTAAAAAAGTCTCTAAGATGTGTGAGACGTGTGTCTAAAAGACGTTTCTAAGGCAAGTCTAAAAGACGTTGAAAATCGGGACACAAGACGTCAAAAAGAAGTCTTTCTAAAAATTTTGAAAGATTAAGACGTCTAAAAGGTGTTTTTAAGACGACATAATGTTGTCTGGGATGCTGTAAAAATAATTTTGTTAAGTTTAAAAATGATGATTTCACATATGCCTGCTTGAATTTTTGCAATTCAATTTTTCTAACAGAATTGAATAAATTACAGTTAAGCTAATCAATTAGACACGTACCAAGGATATGTAAATTATAGTGCGACCTATGACTTTCATTTCTGTCACCATTTTTCTTTATTTTCTATTCCATGATACTATGCCTTTTCTTTTCTTTATTTACGTGAAACGATTTATCATCTGAAAAGATGATCACAAGTAATGCTGTCATGTTGTAACATTTTAATAATATAAATTTTCTACAAAGTATACTTTCTTTAGTGTTGATTAATAGCATTAATAGAGATTAATAGCAACACTTTAAGCTTCAAAGAAATAATGTGCTTACAAATAATAAAAGTAACGGTATGTTTCTTGCTTTTAAAAAAACTACGGCCATCATACCGTGGTTTATCCCACCCTGTTTTGTCACACTCGAACGGGTATCTACTAGAGGGAATCGGAGATTCTACGTCTGGAGCGGGACAGGATGTTCCTTTAATTCTTCGTAGTTTCGTTTTATTTATAGCTGGCTCATAAAAACCAGTTATGCGTTTTACAAGTCTTGCGATTTTACTCAGAATTGCAGCATTAATAATTATTTGCGTGACAATAGTTAACAACGCGAGTTACGCATTGAAGACTTTCCAACAGGTTGCCACCCACATTTCGATATCTATTTTGGTGGGTCCGTTGCCTATTGTTAAGCTTGGTTGACTTCCGTTCTGTTTCTTTCCGTTCGGCACTTGCGAGTTGCGAGCCACAAGTTGTGTCGACTAGACTAAATTCCGAGCCGCGTTTACGACCGCGTTTCTAGATCGCAGTACAGTTAGCTCGTTTAATACGCAATCTTCGCTCCTTTCGCCGACATGTAGCAATAAATTCGCAATAAATTTGCGATACCTTGGCAATAACTTAGGTATTCTAAATATTTCGGGTATTGTTAGGCACATCTGGTTGTTGCCACTATATTATTATATAATTATTTTATTGTCTAATATAAATTTACTTGTTCGGTATGTGTGTGCATAATATAAGTATTATTACTCTGGGAAAAAAAAACAGTTATAACCCATTTTGGGGCCCACAATTAGTAATCGAATTATTTGGATTGTTCGTAACTCTACTCTGGGAAAAATTTTGACCGTTTTTTGATGTAGTTAAGCAACTTAACATATCGGCACTTAAGTGAAAATTATCTTTGCGTTACTGAATATCGACAGAACTAATTGAGAGAATTGATTAGTATTACTCTAATATCTTGGTTATAGATAGAACGGCTAATTGTGATTTTTAGTTACGCGAGATAAAATTCGTAAAAGATTAGAGTTACGAACAATCTAAATAATTCGATTACTAATTGTGGGCCCCAAAATGGATTGTAACTGACTTTTTTTTCCCAGAGTAGTAGATAGAAATAGTCTTATACGGCAAAATTAACGACATGTGCATAGACCATTCATTCTGGTCTGCAGAGTAAAGCCGGAAGTTCGAGAGTGAGAAAGCAGTAGGCATAAAATATATTATAATATACGATTTTAATGCAAATATGCGGTCGATATAAATTTATTAATGGACATTGAATTCATTGCAATCTTTATTTTTCGTCTTTTACTTCACTATTACTTTACAATTTCTAATGTTATCTAAACATAACTTTAAATTTAATATTCCTAAACTTATCGATCGGAAAAGATGTTTTAGAACAGATTTTATTAGCTAGATACTACAGCGATAGAGTTACATAGAAACAGTCGAGTCCACTCGGTTCGGTAATGAAATTCAGATTGCACATGTTAGTTTCATGTTTTCTAAACAAACACGTTTTAAAACAGGGCCTTTTAGAAATCATAATTTTAAGTGTTCAAGGAACATAAAGTTTACGTTTCTACATAAAGCAAAATACGAGGTGTGTCCTAAAAGTATCTGACCTCTGCACATATCTTTATCCTTGGGCATCCTATTGTGGAAAACAGATATTCCGTATTTACGGTGGACCTTTAGGAGTACCCTCACCAAGCGGCACGACCCAACAGCTGTTCAGTCGGCAACGGTACGCAGTTGTGTGAGCGTCGAAAATTCCGAGCGTCGCATTTTACAATGACTGAACGAGTCGAGCAGAGAATTTGTATTAAATTTTGCCAAAAACTTGGCACTCTTTTAAGCAACTTAGGATCTTTGTTGATAAACCCCAGGATGTCTTTGACAATTTGACCTCGAGAATTCCTTTGTTCTTCCGTAGGCACTCATGGAACGAATTTTGTGAAATGCGACGCTCGGAATTTTCGACGCTCACACCCCACCAACACATAAACGTTATATAAACGTTTAAAACCCGCTTTTCGTTTGTCAACCTGCCGAATGGTTTGTTTCTCTAACGACCTGAACGTCTTGTGGAACAAGAAGTTCAAAGACGTTGCATGTACGTTTCAGAAACGTTGAGATCCTAACCTTGCTTCTTCTCCCTGCATAGAGGGCGTATCCATGCCACACTATACGTATTGCGAATTGTAAATCGCGAATCGGAATTGAGCCAATCAGATCCGAAGCTGTCTTTGATTGGCTGAATTAAGATCCGCATCCGCAATACGTAAGCTGCGTTCGGGGAGATATTAGCGCTATGAGCGTGCTCTATCCTTATTACTTGCGAACGTTGAACAAGGACAGAGTACATATGCTCATAGCGCTAAATAGCGTCTCCCCGAACGCAGCCGTAATGTGACACGGACTTAACATTTTTAAGATAAAAATTAAAAATTTTTTTGTCTGAAGATTTTTGACTGAAACAGTTTTGTATGATTCGATGTAATTCTAGTCTATATGTTTTATTTTTTGTGAAACACGTTTCCAAGAAACGTTATGTGACAAACGTTCGTAAAACGTTTTCGCAATAACCAAACGATGAGCAAACGTTTGACTCGGTGGACATTTGCACGATTGGTGAACGAAAACGTTCGAACGTTCCTGAAACGTGTATAACGTTTATGTGTTGGTGGGGCACAACTGCGTACCGTTGCCGACTGAACAGCTGTTGGGTCGTGCCGCTTGGTGGAGGTACTTCTAAAGGTCCACCTTAAATACCGAATACCTATTTTCCACAATAGGATGCCCAAGGATAAAGATATACATATACAGAGGTCGGATACTTTTGGGACACACCTCGTATACAGGTTTGGACCACTCCAAAGATTATAGTAGACTGGGTCAAACTGAGAAGAAAAGTTATATACCATTTTATAAAATCCGTAATTATTATCGCGTAATTAAGAAAAACGTCTGAGCCAATAAGTGCACGGAGGAGCTGAAGGCCGGACTCGGCAGACATGCAAAATGGTGTATTATTCTCCTACCACCAGAAAAACTTTCTCGGCGCGGTGTCATATGTCGCTCACCGCTGCCCGCTCGCCGCCGTCTCTCATCGATCGATGCGTGACTCAACCTCTCGCTATCTGATCTTGAGAGATTTTGTAAAATGTTATATAACTTTTCTTCTCAGTTTGACCCAATCTACTATAATCTTTGGAGTGGTCCAAATCGAATCCGACACCCTGTATACATAAAAGACACCTCACAGAAATGCAAGATAATTTTGGCTCTTTTGTATAAATGTGTGAAATGTTATGTAACAGTTTACAACAGTTCGATCCTCGGGTACAGATATTATCTTACCAAGCTAAAATAAGTTTTGTATACCCAGATAGCACAAAGAATCCAAAAAGAATTCTTTTTGAATTCCCAAATTATGAAATGAATTCTTTATCTGTCCCATTTCTATTCTAAATGTATTCTTAAGAGTTCCAAAAGAACTCACTTTTATGTCACCAATTTGGAGCCCTTTTTCGCATACCAAAAGGACTCTTATTATACTCCATAAGAATTTGCAATGAATCACAAATAATTTTTAGATAGTATTCTAATGGAGCACTATAAGGATTCATTTTTCGGTCTTAATGGATTCATAAACTGCTTTCGTCCAGGTCCAGGCTAGGGATACGCTCTCGGAAACAACGAACCACGGTCTTACATAGGCTGCGTTCAGAAACTTCACCTGACTGCTACATGCATCATTTATCCTTGTTTAATATTCGGTGAACAACAAGGATAAAATATGATACATGGGAACACTCGGGTGATGTTTCCGAATATAACCATACAGGTCTTGAAATGACAATGGTGTGGGTAGGTCGATCGTGGGCTTGATCATAAATCTTTTCTTCTAGCGT